TTGGTCTTAGAATTTCATGAAATATATTAGAGGAAAGAAAAATTCTATTTTGAAATTTGTATTACTTATATATAGCTACTACGCGAGGAAAACATAGGTAATTATGTATTGTCCAAGAAAAAATTAAAAATCACTTCTATACATACAAATCAATTAAGGAATCAAAAAATTTAAATGCAAATATCGTAGAAAAGTTGGGTTGCAGTCAGTAAGGAATACAAATATTGGGTTAGGAAATAAGTCCTTTCGGTTTTTCAGGGTAAAATAAAGCTCAATGTATTATAGACATAAAATTTATTCTAATCTACAATATTTTGACCATTATTTAATATGACTTTTTCCGATCTTTCCACTAACTGCATAATGCCATGTTCATAGAATTTCTGGAGTCTATTGTCAAAAAAAATGATCCAAGTGGTTTTTGATGTCCTCTTACTTCTGGAATTTCTTTCCGTTCATGGAGTTCCGCAGAGACTGGAATAAGAGGTAGTCACTTGGAGCTAGATCTGTTGAATAGGGAGGTTGGGGTAAAAGGTCCCATCCAAGACTCAATAATTTATTGCGAATGACCAATGAGGTGTGGATCTAGACAACACCCTTTCGATCATTCATAATTCTTCAGGATGTTCTCCAACTTCGATGTTACTATATCCGTTGGAAAGCTGAATTATTGCTCTTCAAAGCCAATCAAAGGAGTAAATAAACAAAACTCCTTATAGGTTTTTATTTTTTATCTCGATTGATTGTTTGTTTAAGAAGGTTCTGTCGATGTCATATTGTGTAATTTATGTGGGCCTAAATTCCTGCTAAATTTCTTGTAGATAGCTAAAGTCATATTGAAGGTATAATATTGTTTTTGTGATTTTCGAAAAAAAAAAAGCATGTGAGTGACTCAAACATTAAGACTGGAAACATATCTGTTGCAAATGGTTTTTCTACGCTTGTGAGCGATACATTTAGGGCCATAGCAATCTCTCGCACTGATTGGGTGGGATTTTGAACTACAGTGACTTTAACATTGCTCGTTTCAATTTCATGTGGGCGACTAAACAGTTGAGCATCATTGATGTCAAAATTTCCTGAATGAAATTTGGCAAACCAATTTTGACCAGTGCGTTCTGTTAAGGCATCAACCCCATAAACACTGCAAATTTTTCTTTGAGCTTTTGCAGCACGCTTACTTTTTTAAAAACAATACAACAAAAGATACCGACCATTTCTTCCATATTCAAAGTGCAATAGCAAACACAATACTAAGCTAGTTTCAACAAGAGTTAACAGATTAAGCTGTTCAAATATTACAAACAGGATAAACAATCCACAATCATCAGATAAGAAGTGTATCATAGTGCCATTAAAATAAACAGAAAAACCGAAAGGATTTAATCGCTGACCCAATATATATATATATATATATATAATAATACAAAAAACAATAATAATAATTATATATATATATATATATATATATATATATATATATATACATAATTATTTTATTTCTTGTCGACTCTTAGGCCTTATTTTTCAGGCCTTGTCCAGGGGTTCAGAAAAGACAAGATAACCAAAAAATGATTCCCTCCATTCCTCAGCCTTGATAAAGAACCGAAACGTCGAAGATTTTATTAATTTTTATTTTATAACCCAGGGGTGCCCAAAAGAGGGTTTTTTTGGCACAAGTTGTGCCATCAAAGTTTTTGATGAGGGCACATTTTGACGGGTTTTTGAGAGGGATTACATTTCGGCAGGGATTACATGAATTTCCGGAATCAAAATTTCAAACTAGGCGACCAGAAAAGAACATGGAACAGACCACAGCAAGTGTAATTGCGTATGATCTACGTTTTTTGAAATTTTACTTGTTTTCATTCATTTAAGGTTCATGCGCCATTGGACTTGATGAGGAGGGGGTGGGAGGGATGGGCAGCCCTGCTGCAATCTCAAGCTATATTACATCCAGTCAAATATTCATTTACAATTTTAATGTAAATAAAGATAATATAATAATTAAATCAGTAAAAAAAAAAAGAGGTGCTAATCATGTTAAAAGGAATATGAAGCCTCTTAAATGATTAAAATAATTATTGAACCATATAAAACAATCATATTATAGAACTAACAGACAAAATTAATAACTATGGACAAAAAATACATTCATAGTTACATAGATACGCACAAAAATCAATGCTACAGATTGTAATTGAGTGTAATTTAATACAAATAATCAAAACTGCTGAAAATTCACTAAGCAATTATTTACAACTGCATTGCAACATATCGAGCAAATGTGTTGCCTTTCAATTTATTATTGTGTTTGTTTTTGTCTTCGATTTTGTTGATGATTGTCAATTGTTCTTTATATTGGGATATTTCTGTGCCATTGCCTTTTTACTTGATATTAAAAAGACAATGGCACAGAAATACAGGAACAGACTGACGGGGTAACAGGGAGGAAGAAAGAGACATGACGAGTAGATTAGGATGATTAAGAGTTAAGAGTAAAATGTTGTGTGTTTACTCGGTAAGGACGTACATTTTCTTGACCAGAGATTATACAAGGAAATGTTGCGGATAGAACCCACGCTCTAACAGTCAAACGAAAGGAGGAGTATAAACATGGGACTTTATGGAAGCTGGATAGGTCCCACGGGATAGGAGGCCCTACTCAGGGTCGATCCACGCCTGGTATAAATAAAATTTAGAATAAATTTCCTTTCTGTGCTGAACTCACTGAGTTATTGCTTTCCTTGTCAAGGAAAACAGTGAATTATAATTATCAGTTACAACCGGCATAACTCATGTTGGATAACCGTTACTTTTCTTTTTATGAATAGTTATTTCTTTATTATAATGTAACGCTGGTTATGTTAATGAAAATTTGATGAAAATACTAAGACTTGATTTACATTAAAAATAATTTTAAAAAAAACTAAATTAAAAGCGACATAAAAAATATTAATTTCAGAGCATTCGAAATTGATTAATATATTTAAGTTTGATAAATTAATAGTTAAAGTTTTAATGTCCATGTGACAGAATGTTATATTACCCAATAAATAAAATTAAAAAAAAAAAAACAGTTAAGGTTAACAACAAAAACGAAATAACTAACAAAACATAGATAATTCTACCATGTATAGCAACCATCTACTAATTAGACAAGTTAGATTTTAACTTGACTAGTTTAATACGTTCATCTTTATTTCGAACATATAGAGAAGAAGGTATTTTCATTACATTGTATTTTTCGGATTTGATGAAAATAACGTTATATATTGAAATTTAGAGAACACTGAAACGCTAATAAATCCCACTTCTATTTTTTTTAAATTTGGCTTTTGTCCATAGGCCAATTAAGAAGACGCTACAAGAATTTTTATATTAAGTAAAATTTTCAGACCTCAAATATCCTGCTATAGCGTTATTAATTTCAAAATATTAGTTAACGTGTTCTTTATCCTCTTAAAACATTATTTGAATTAACTATCATTAAAAATAAAATATTAATTAAAGATTGTTTATTAAACTAAATATTTCTTTGGATGAGGTTTGGTTATAATGAATAACGGTTCGTTAGTTTGGTTTAATGACAAGCCATTTTGTCCTTTTTATTCTCGCTTTTTCTTACATGCCTTTCTTAATTTTTCTGTTGCAAAGGATTATCCAAATCAATTTACATGGCAAAGCATTACTTATTCAAAAAAATCAACTGAAGCCCACTTCCAAATACATTTGGCAGACTGTCAGAAATTGTTAGGAAATACTATTAATTAGAGATTATAAATATTATGGTGTAAAATTAATAGATGACAGAGATAGCTTTATTGCTTCTCCTTATTTTATTAACTGTTGTTAAAAACAAAAAAAATTCTTAAACTTAAATAAAAATTATCAAATGTTATTAAGGTTTAAAAATTAACAAATATTACCCCAAAATATTTTTTTTTTAAAGTTCAGTCTAAGTATTTAACAATTAAAAATTAAACATGTAATAATGCTGATATAATTATAGAATTAGTAGCAGGTATAGACATTGGTTGATCGCTTAGCTAGTCAGCTTTCTGTTAATTTTCAAATCTTATTTCGTTTTCTTTTTTAGTTTTTCTAAATGTTATTCTTTAATAAGCAGCTGTTTTTCTTTTTTTTTTTTTTTGATGTGTTATTTTATTATTTAACATACAAGTTAAAAACGTACAAACAACTTAAATGTCATTAAATAATACCAAGGAGGTATACCGACGTTCCGGTCCACATTACAAAACGTCTCCAGGACTACAAAAAACAAGGAAGATGAAAATGACACCATTATTCAGAAGGACCGTATAGAAATATTAGAGAGAAGAAAAAAGTAGATAAATAAATTATATTATTTACTGTTTATTGTAGCCCTGAAACATTGGAATGTTTGTGGACTGAAACGTCGGCCTTTTAATACACAATATTAATCGCTACGTTTACATATCGTGAACCTATGACTTCTTGTCCTACAGTGTCCTTCAATAATGTTTTACTTATTATAGACTAAAACTACAAGAAACTGCTCGACGTTTCCGGCTGCTCCAACACTTACAATCGGTCTAAGGTTTCAATTAGTTACAATAGGCTTATCTTCTTAACTACAAAACCAAAATCATTTTCGTAAATTGCTTAATGATCCATATTTTGTCACAAATAAAATCATTCAAAAATTCCTTAATGCTCCAAAAGTCGCTGATTTTGTCCGATCCAGACACCTATTCTTTCATTAACTCCATACCCATCCAAAGCCTAAAAATAAAATGGCTTCGGGGTATTCTTACTTACAACTATTTTGGTAGTGCAAGAGTTGAGTATGTTGACAAGTCTGTTAGTTATTATTCCCATTTACTGGTTGTTAATATTTAATATAGTTGTAAGCTTCAATAAATAAAAATAAAAAATAAAATGAAAAAGTTTATATATTTAATAATTTTGATATGTACATTACAATTTTGATTCATGTTATGTTGTTGTTGTTTCAGATATGAGACGCCGGTAGACGAGGATGATCTCGCCGAGCCTGGCAGTGGAGGGGGGCTACTTGGGGTTCCCCTCGGTGCCTGAGTTCCTGCGGCCCCTGCCTCCGCGGTTCCGCCCCCCGCCCGCGGCCCGGCCCCCGCTGCCCCACAAGGAGGAGGAAGACTTCCAGCCCTACCGAGTCTACAACCCTTACTACAACCCCTACCTCTACCCCTACCACATCAGGCCCGTCGACCTGTACTCTCCCCCGCAGAGTCCCCTCAGGCCCAAGGTACCACCCGGCCCGCAGCCGCCAGCGACTGCCCCGCCGGCACCACAAGGTAATAACTGCTAAAAGTATTATTATTAATATAAGGCTCATTACTGTATTAACACTTTAACATCAGCATTCAATTGATATTCAAGTTGTTGCATCACCATATTGCGTCTTGCCAAGGTTAAAAGATTAGACCATCAAGATAATAAAATGAATATGCAATATGATGGCAAGAATATTTAAAAACAAGTAAGAATACCATTACTTAACTAACTTGTTTTGTTCCATTTGAAAAGTAGCTATTGAGAAATTATTACTGTAAACTTCATACCATCTTAAACGCTTCCTATAAATTTTATTGCAAGATATAATTTATTATTTGTTCGACCAAATCATTTTCATTGAAAATGAGACCCAAAAAAAAAAAAAAAAAAAAAAATACTAAGGAATCTTGCAAGAATGTTCATACAACTTTCAAAAAATATATCTACTATATATTGAATATATTGAACAATGTAGAATTTAAAAGTATTTATTTTTGGATTAGGACATTTTTTTACTGGTATCCGTTAAATTTTACCTTAAAGTTTTAAGTTATTAAAAGAAGGTTTAGTTTGCAACACACTCACTATTAAAGCCTCAATTAAAATTTAACGGACACCCTCAAAAATGTCCCAAAAAAATCTGTTGAAAATTGAAATTAATTAGGCTGAGTCCTTCTTCAGAACGTATTCAATCATTTTTTTTTTCATTTACTTGGCGATGTTTCAGCCGCTACGCCATCCACAGGCAAATCTAAAAGGACTTTGAGAATATTTTTTATATATACAAGGTTTTTATATATTTTCATAATATTTAAAAGAATATTTTTATATAAAAATCTTGTGATTGCAGTTGAAGTCACATATTACCAGACAATTGACAATTATAGTCCCAAATAAGATAATAACAAATTAACATACATTTATTCATTATTGGTCAATGTATTGAATGACTAGCACCACTATTTAATTAAGATTAAAATATGGAAGATGGTAATTTTCATGAAGTGTTTAAGTGAAAAATGACCCAAGCCTAAATAATTTAAATACATAAAAAGAGTTTTCATATTAAACTTAAAATAAAAAAGATTATGTTTGTAATTTAAGACCCTATCTGAGAGTCGTTTTGCTTACAGTTTTGAAAACACCCAAACCCACCTCTCACCTGACCACTCTCCCAGCAGGTGGCGGTCCTCCGACAGGGAGCAGGCGGCTGCGAAGGACACGACCGACCCGCGCCGCTGGGTTCGCGCGCGGCTCGCTGATCCGGCTAGCCAGCGGCGAGCTGCGCAGGGTCGAGGAAATGCGGACGGAGGACTTCATCAACTCGGCCGAGACCTGCCCCGCGCTCCGGCTGGACCCGAGCACCGTGGTCAGGATCGAAGCCAGCCACGACTCCAACCTCGCCGTACTCACCCTAAGGTACGGCGAGTCCAGGGCACAGGTCAGTACCACCAAGCACTAGATCTTAACTATATTAAGAATATTTCGAATGTATCACATATCTAAGCTCTGGATACGCATATAAGCTTCCTCATAATAATCAACAATCAGATGTTCCTAGTAGCTTATGATGATAGCCTTGATTCGAGTATTTTGTTATTATTGGAAGAGATCTCTGGGCCATTTTTTTTTTTTTTTTTTAACTGTGACGATTAGATAAGAGGGTGACCTCCTCCCTTCCCAAGAATTTTGATTGTTCTACTCTTTTAAAAAACAGTGCAAGCCAGAGTATAATTAGAAAATTGTAAATCTGTTCCATGTTTTCCTCTTGTCCCTTGGTTTAAAAAATTTCCTCCATATTGAAACTACAAAAATATGGTTCCTTCTAAAAATCCATAACCTCGTTAAATGTTTATTATTTTTTTTTTTTGGCTTTTTCTACAACTTAAGGAGTCATATTCCCAACACCCAAAAGCCACTGCTCAGTGTCCATCCAATCTCCTTCACGGAGCCCTCTGGCTGCCATGCTTTTCTCCACGTCCTCTATCCATTTCTTCTTTAGCCTTCCATGCTTCTTTCTTTCAGGTGGCATATATTTATAAATTTTCTTTGGCAGGCGGTTCTCATCCATCCGCATTCAGTGGCCATACCACTTTAATCTTTTGGTCCCGATCTGGTGAATGATTTTCTTTTGACATCCGACCTTGTCTCTAATTGTAGCGTTTGGGATCCGCTTGATTATAGATATGCCACAGCTTCTTCTCCAGAAATCCATTTCCATGGAAAGTAAACTATTTTTCGCCTTTTTTGTATTGTCCAAACTTCTGATGCGTAGGTGGCTATGCTTTCTACAAAGGAATTTTAGTTTTCTTTTTAGTTTCCAATCTTATTTCTTTACTCCATAGGGTTGAATTTATCGAACTTATTATTCTTTTTCTATTGTTTATTTTATGTTCAATGTCAACCTCACTACCTCCCTTTGAAGATATCCGAGGTACTTGAACTGTTGGCTGACATTGAGCGTCCAGTCATCAATTTCAAGGGGCAAATTTGGAGCGTTGAAAAACATGTACTCTGTTTTACATTTACTGATTTTCATACCCCATCTGGAATACGTGTCTAGCAACTTCCTCAACATATAGCTCACATCATCCGGATGTTAAATGTTAATACCGTCGTTAAAATGCGCACCCTCAATTTTGATGATGCTATTCACTACCCCTTTCTGGGCACACTGATGAGTGGTGATTGTGAGTTGAAGAATGAAATGTGGTGTATTGGTCGCTACTGTAAGATTTTACAGTTGTAATGTTCATTCCATTTTGTAAGGATTTAAAAAATATCATGACGTGTTATGTTTTTAACATTATTAAAGCGTTATGCATACTTTTATTTATATCATGATAAGATTTTAGTTTATGGAAAATACCTAAAGTGACATCTGAATATTGTTTCTCTTAATTAGGTCTAAAACTTTTCCTTTCTCATCGCATTACAAAACTAAAGTATCTGCTAGTGAGCGAACATCTGATATCATCTACAATATTTTCGTAATATAGATTATTTTAAATTACCTTATACCTTATATTCTATGTCCAATTAATTTTGATTTCTCTTGAACAACATTTAGATGTATCCAAGTCAAGAACGCTAATGGTTCAAATAGAACGCCGTCATCAAGATCGGGATCTTTGCATTCAAATGATATCGTTCTTATCCTGCCAACGAGAATGATACACATTTCAACATCGAAATGAAAACAAACGGCCTGGAAGCAACTGTATCAGCTTATTAATCTCCTTCGCAGTTACCACATGCTCATGTACACGGGACCCGACGCAGATAAGTCTGTCAAGAAATGTAGAACGAGCTTGATTTATCCTCAATGACTTGGCCGGAATGTAAGAAATAAATGACATCGAAAGCAGTAGGTCATGGTTCGATTGCCGGAAGCGTTAGAAGAGGGCGAATACATTCCGACGGAGCGAGAAGGCCGTGTGTAAATCACAAACGATTCATTAAATCTTGTTGACTCACAGTTGAGTAACTCTGGACCATTGAGTGACGTAAGCATATGCTAATTTGTGTTGACGCCCGTGGCAAAGGTCTCCCATTATTTGTTTATGGACATTTCCTTTGGTTCGTTATGTTTGCCAACCTGATTTTATGTTTTCAACTCTTGAAATTACTCGCCGGAAATCAATTAATGAGATGAAGAGTTCTTTCGTTTATTTTTCAATGCCATATGTATTATTAAACTCCTCAACTCGGTTGTTTTTAGTTTGTAATACTTTGGAAATATAACACTGTAAAATAATCTTGGTTTGAAGGTATAGAACACTGTCTAAACCTGTGGTAAGGCTTGGCATCGGCATTGCTTTATTCCTAACCATCCTCTTGTCACCTTACCTTGACAAATCAGTATACACATAATCACCCATTATCAAATCCTGGTCATTGCACTTTGCTACATCCTAAGCCCCTGATGTTTCTTTCCGAAAGGATTAGACGCTTTCAGGTTTCAAATCAGTACAATAAAAACTGAAGACTATGGTACGTTAAGAGTGAACTTAACGAAACCAATAATTTTTAATAAATGGAAATCTTTGGTTTCGTTCATTTCTACGTTCATCTAACATAATTATTTTTGATGTAATGTTAATAGGATCAAAAAATTATCTCAGTACTTTATTAGCTGATCAGTTACATAAATTATCAATTTTTATTCGGTGAAGATTAAATTATAACAATGGAAACGCAATCCGTCAAGATTTTTTTCTGACATTGCAAGAATAATTAGCGTTAAAGAAAAGTGGTAGGAACGGAGCTACATCACGAAAGTAGAATCTAAAATGGATATGTTATAGCTCATAACTTAGATTAATGTTTCCAACTTTAAAATTCCATCTAACAAATACATGTCCGTTTTTCCCTCATACCATCGTCTCTGAAAAGCAATATTGATATATATATATATAAGTTAAGCGTCGGCGGACTTCAGAAATAAAAAAAAAAGAAGGAAAAGGATTGAGATACAATACTCACGGCTTCTGAATAAATACTGCTTTATTCGTTCAATAATTCTCCTTATATACAATTAGCACGTTTGTTTACATTACAAGTTGGTATTAAGGCTAATATCGCCAGTCTCCGGTCTTTTATCTTATATATATATATATATATATATATATATATATATATATATATATATATATTTTAAAATATATTTATTGAATAATAATACAATCAGCCACTGCTGGAGGGCTATAAGCATTAGGGCTAAAAGTTCTCAAATATTGACATTAAAAAATAATTTATTAGCTTTAGTAAATGCATGTTTATAAAGAGGAGTTTGATGCATAGGCGGATCTACGGGTGGGGGAAGGAAACCTTGGGGCTGCCCCAAAGCCTTCTCCCTCCCCTCAAAAAAAATTGGGGGTATATATCCATGTCTTACGAAAAAAAAAAAATCTTCTCTAAAAGGTATTATTGTTAACTAAAGAAAAGGATGTTTGGCGTGATCAGTCAAATTAAATTGGTGAAAAATAAACAATTTTATTTATTTTGACATTCCATTTTATTTATTTATATTTTATACTTTCCATTCTATTTATTTTTACATTTTTTATTATTGTTAACATTTAATAGGATCTTAAGAATCACTTAAACAACATTTCTTATTGATAGTTAGTTTCTTTCTTTTTCTTCCAAAGTAATTATCGTTTTAAATATACTGTGGTGAACTCAGACCACACCCCAATGCTCCCAACATACCTCCTAGTCACTCTGTTATTTCACGTTATTAGCTAAATATGAACCTGTTTTTATTAATTTAAATGTGCGATCTCCGTCTTATTGACGTTCACTGTCACTTGAGTACTTTTGCACCTCAAATTTACCTAATCTTTGTTTCCTGGTAAGTATCCAATTCCAGTTGGAAAATGAATATTTCTTTAAACGGTCACATCATAGTCCTGGGGTCAGCAGTAGAACCGGGAGCAGGTTATTGGCAGAGATCGTTAAGAGTTTGGTTGCTTGGTGTTTGATTACGGTCATTTATATAATGAGGCAGATCCATCCGTGGGAAGATCTCACAGTAGGGGCCATATATCTTATTATGTGTTACTTTATATTGAGTATGAGTAGTGTAATTTACTTTTAAAGGGCTTTTAAAAAGAATAGGAGAGAAAATACCATGCATTACATTCCACGTTCAGAGGTTACTAACCATCCTTTTAGCACTTCTGAGATATAATTAATCCGAGATGGATTAAGAAGAAAGGTTATGTATTTACTAGTGGATTTCAATTGTGGTATTGTGATAAAATGGGATTATATATCTAATATAAAGATTCTAATGGATTATTGTACTCGAGATTGCGTTTGTCATCTCAAAGTAATAGTTGAAACATTTGGAATTAATAAGAGATTCCTGGTTTTGTATTAGGGTTCTGTTTTGTTAGCTTAAAAGATAAAATAAAGGAATTTTCAGACTATTTATGAAACGTTTACGGAGATGAAATGAAATTTATACAACCGAATTTCGATACTGATTCTCAGAACTCAATGCTATTCCACTTAACAAATATTTAACATTCCAAATACTTGATGTTGTGCTTGAAACTGTATTAACAATACTGAAATTATTTTTCAATGAAACAGTTAATAAGAGAAATATTAACGATGCTCTTGATATTTTACCCAAATTGGAATTTATTGGAAAACCTCTTACTTGTTTTATTATTATTATTTTCATGAGGTCTTTAACAATTTTTATTACCTTACTATTCTTTTTTTTTTTTTTTTTTAACCAGCCTTCAAGGACCTCTTATTTCATATTATTAATTACTTTATTTTTCTTCCGGAGTAACTAGGGTTATAAAAAATAATAAAACTTAATAAACATCCCCAAAATTAAATCCTAGATTCGCTACTGACTAGTAGAGATTATTGGAGGTAAAAAGTACCGAAGGATCGGAATTAGACACTGGTGCAGATCCTATGTAAGGTCAATATACCAAT